TTCTCTTTAATGAAATAACGATCAATCTCCACATGTTTGGTTCTATAGTGATGTACTGGATCTTTAGCTATACTGATGGTTGATTAATTGTCACACCAGAGTTTCATAGGATTTGGAATGCAAAAACTTAGTTCAAATAGAATCTTCTTCAGCCATACACCTTCACATATTCCATGAGTAAGAGACCTCAATTCAGGTTCAGCACTACTTTTAGATACAACTGACTGTTTCTTATTTCGCCAAGTGATTAGGTTGCCTCACACAAATGTACAATAACCAGTTGTTGATCTTCTATTAGTCATTGATCTTGTCCAGTCAGCGTCAGTGAAAATCTCAATGTCTTTGTTTATTATTTTCTGGAAGAACAACCCCTGTCCAGGAGTCATCTTTAAGTACCTCAAAATTCAGTAAATGACACTCATATGTTCTTCAGTTAGTTTAGCCATGAACTGACTTACAATGCTCACAGTAAAACTGATATCAGGTCTGGTATGAGCAAGATATATAAGTTTGCCAACAAGTATCTAGTATGTCTCTTTATCAACAGGTTTGCTATCACTTTTGAGACCGATTTTGACATTGGACTTCATCGGTCTTCCTACAGGTTTACAACCAAGCATACCTGTTTCCTTTAAAAGATCTAATACATATTTGCGTTGTGAAACAAAGATACCTTTCTTAGATCGAGCTACTTCAATCTCAAGAAAGTATCAAAGTAACCCAAGGTCTTTGATCTCGAATTTTTTGACTAGGAACTTTTTGAGTTTCAAAATTTCTTCATCATTATTACCTGTTTAGATAATGTCATCAACATATACAATTAGGATAGATTTCTTTCTCGTGACACTGTTTTTGACAAAAAGCGTGTGATTAGACTGAGACTGAACATATCCCATCTATTTCACTGCCATTGAGAATCTCTCAAACCATGCCTTCGGAGATTGCTTAAGACTGTAGAGAGTCTTTTTTAATCTGCATACCTTCTTAGACTCGATGCTAAGTTCAAGATGGATTTCCATGTAAACTTCTTCTTCTAGATCTCCATTGAGGAAAACGTTCTTTACATCCAGTTGATGAAGATGCCAATTAAGGTTTGAGTCCAAGGAGAATAGAACCTGTATTGTGTTATGTTTAGCAACTGGGGTAAAAGTTTCCTGATAGTCAATTTCATATGACTGAGTGAAGTTTTTGGCAACAAGGCGAATTTTATGACGGCTCACAGTTCCATCAGGATTATACTTTGTGGTACAGATCCATTTGCACCCTACAGGCTTTTTCTCTGAAAGTAGATCAGATAGTTCCTATGTCTCATTCTTATCAAGCGCTGTGATTTCTTCTTGGATTGCAGCTTTCCATTATGGGAACTCAAGTGCCTCATGAATAGTTCTTGGGACAATGTCGTTATCGAGCTTACTAACAGGTGCATTGTATGTTGAAGACAATTTGTCATATGACACGTAATCTTATACGGGGATGCATGGTGCAAGACCGGAAATCTTTTTTCAAAGCAATGGGAAGTTCAACATTAGTGTCAATATTAACCAATGAGTCAGAAATTTCATTACTTGTAGTATTATGAGTGCTCGGTTCAGGAGATGACTCACGACTTTGCTTGGTTGATTCAAGAATTCTGCTATTTTGAGTCTTATTTCTCCTTGTATAGACATGTAGCTTATTTTTTACAGGTAATGTGCCATCAGTATCTATGTCATTAGTATCTGTGGTGGATTCTGGTTTTTTTATGGTTTCCTGGATATGAATATTCTGGGACGATGTCAATGGGATTTGAGGGATGAATATCCATAAGTGGTTTCGTGCTTAGAACTCGGCTCCGCACTTCATCTATGCTTTTGTTGAGCCCCATGAGAAACCGGAAGATTCTTTTCTGCTCCACAATTTCTATGTGCTTCTTAGCATCTTCTGGGCATCTCCATTGATGATCTTCGAAGATGTCGAGCTGTTGCCAGTTGTGGGTGAGAGAGTTGTAATATTGAGTAACGTTCAGCTCACCTTGCCGCAGCTCGTAGATGGTGGATTCGACTTCGAAAATTATTGAGGTGTTTTCACAGTTGGAGTAAAACTCACTAGCAACTTCCCAAACTTCGT